GGCTACGAGCCCAACTAAAGCGAACACTTTTCTCCATGATGGTGACTTGAGTCTATGTGGTCCACATGTGTTTTAAGATAACTGGGCCACATTTGCCATATCTCCTCTGGGCTGCTTTAGGCTCACAACCACTTTAGCCAGAGCTAACTGTGCCAAATATTTGCCATAAGTGGCCCATATTTGTTTTAGGACAACTGGGCTACATTTGCCACATCTTCTCTGGGCCACTATAGGCTCCAACTCACATTAGCCATAGCTTAATGTGACAAATATTTGCCATAAGTGGCCCACATTTGTTTTAGGATAACTAGGCCACATTTTCCACATCTTCTCTGGGCCACAATAGGCTAACGGCTGCATTAGCCAGAGCTTACTGTGAAGAATATTTGCCAAAAGTGGCCCACATATGTTTTAAAATAACTGGGCCACATCTGCCATATTTTCTCTGGGCCACATTAGGCTCACAGCCACATTAGCCAGAGCTTACTGTGCCAAATATTTGCCAAAAGTGGTACACATATGTCTTAATATAACTGGGCCACATTTGCACTCACACATGTGAGCCACTTTAGGTTTAGACCCAGATCACACTTAAACGACTATGCCACTGTTTTGCCAACTGTGGCCCACATTTGACCTCTGTCATATGGGCCAAATTTATCACTTTGCACATGGGCCACATTGGGCTAACATTCAGGTTACATTTTGCCATAAGTGCCAAATCTTTGCCTTAAATGGCCCATATATGAATTTGAATCTCTGGCCCCTTTTTGCCATTGTACAGGTGGGCCACTTTAGGCTCACATTCATTTTGTCTGGAATGAAGGAAACCTACCAGTGCCACATAACTGCCTAAAGTGGCCAACATGCGTATGTTATCTGGGTACCTTCTTGAATAAATAAAATCAAAGTTAAATGGCAGCATTATTAGGGAACTACATTTATAAGTTGATCAGAGCCCAATTAGAATCCCTAAATAGTCATTTGCCAACCTTTATATACACTGTAAATTAAGTTAAGTTAAATGATTATATTAACTTAATCGTTTTTACAAATTCAAGTAATTTTTACAAATTCAAGTCAAGTTGTAACCAAACAACTTAAGAATTATGTTGATTCAGCTCATTTGAAATACAAGTAGTTTGAACAAACAGCAAAAGTTATTTGTTTGAGTGTAAGTAAACAATCATGCATTGGGTCCTTGTGGACAAAAGAGGAGGCACTTCCACACACACTCAAGACCACTGAGCGATAATAAGCCCCTCAGGACATCAAACTCAACACTTCCTCTTAGAGAAACCACAAAAACAATCACACGCTCTCGCTCAGACCAGCCGAGCAAACTGTCAAGGCAAACGCAAACACATGTCCATGTGGGGGAAAAAAAGGCCAGTCACCTTAACATGCCAAAAGTGTGGTGGCCAAGAGAACTTAACATGCTGCAGTTAAAGAAAACACATGTAATTACAAAAAAAACGCCAGCGAATTAGGAAAAGATTGTCATTGCTTTAACATCATACACAGGCCCGTATTGGCTAATCGGGAGAACCAGGAGAATTCCCAGTGAGCCAGTCCATTTTTTTGGCCCCTAGCTGCTTGTACTCTCAGCAGTCACACTTTTTTCATTTATTTATTCATTTGACCATAGCCTTACTCTTCTTATTTATTATTTTGCCGCAGCTCCGCTCTTTTTATTTATTTTCTCGCAGCCCTGTGAGCACAATGCAGCCTGCAGGTTAATGATGACGTAACTATCATACGACCGCAAACAAGCTCATTCTGATTATGTACCCATATATACATTTCTGGAGAGTGCCAAATACCTCCCAGGAGCTACGTTTTTTTGCAGTTTTTGTTTTTGCGAATCCACCAGAGGCTGCTGTGTGCACTTTTTGAGATCTCAAATTTCTCTTTCGAATGCCATTCGGGTCTGCTGTTTTCGCGTAAATCCACCAGAGGTCGCTGTCGACTGACTGACTGACGATCTCCTCACGCTCCCGATCTCCAATCGACAGTTTTAAAAAGCAATCCAGAAAAAGAAATCGCCTGATTTTTACCACGTTTTCAGATTTTACCATATTATCACCCTGCTATTAACTTGTTTATTTTTATTTATTTTTTGGCTTCTGTTTTTGTCTTACACGCTTTCTAAAACCTTTCTTCACAGGACTCATTGCTGTCAACTCCACTCTGTGTCTTCAATCCTTTGACGTACGCCGTGAGCCACTGGTAACAGCAGAAAAGCCGTCCATACGGAAGCGGTCAGCTGGTAAGCGCAAAAAGGAACGGCGTCATACCGCCCTGTAGCATTAGTTAGTTTAAAAGATGAAATACGTCTGGCTACATAATTTTTGCGAAATGTATATAGGGCTACATTTTCAGAATGAGCCTATGTTGCATTCTTCACATACAATATCTTGGCCTTTCTATCAAGCGTTTTCAATCCTAAAACATGATTGTAAATATAGTAACAGAGACTTTTGACTTGTCTGTAAGTAACCTCCAAAAACAATTGATTAACTGTATAGCAAAAAAAAAAAAACACACTCAAAACATTAGAACCAGCAGTGGCGCAGCAACATCTTCAATTTCACACCACTTCCTTATAAAATTATTATATTCTGACAAGAATACTAAATAGACAACCTACACAACACAAATCCACATTTATTCACTATGAAAAACCAAGTTTCGTTAATAGAGCCACCTTGTTTATTAGAGATGCATAGCATGAACCGTTAGCAAAGACAAACAAGGATGCAGGAAAACAGTCATCGAATGGCTTGTTTCCACTGAGCGACACATACAGTAAGGCTCGGTACAGTACAGTGCGCACTTATTTCCAGAATTTCCAGAATTGGTATCAAAATAGAGAAGATATTCTACTAACTAGCACAATAAAGGGTGCCTAAAGGGTGGATCTAGACGCAGTGTTGAATGCTGATTAGTTTACAGAGAATCATCGTTTATGTGTGCAATTAGAGCAACGACAACACAATAAGTGGCATTTTTAAATACTCAGCCGAAACATGAAACAAAAATAGCATACGCTCCAAAAAAAGTGTGTATTATTGCTGTTTGTGGTTCAATCTACTAATTTAAAATGAGGTTTTTTTTGGGGACAAAATTTATGTTCAATTCACCTAAATTAACTATTTTAAATTTCAAGAGTTGCCACTTAGATATGTTTAGCGTTAATAGCAGTTTTGGCATGCTGTCCCGGGAGAAAACTCTGAGCTCGGAGATACTTGAGCCCAAGGATCCTGCCTAGGTCTCGAGAGTTCGGGAGGAAAAGGAGGAGATAGGGCGGGGGGGGGGGGGGGGGGGTTTGGGGTTGGAAGCTTGGATCACTATGATTGGATTATTACTGATTATAGAATGAGCAGCCAGTCGTGCTCAATAGTATTACGAAATTAGTTTATGAAACTTCACTTTGTCAGTTTAGTGGATAATTCATACACTGTAAAAAATGCTGGTTTCACACAATTCCTTCACGTTGACCAAATATAAATCTGTTACATTAACGTCATCATTTTGTACAAATTTAAGTGGATTGACCACAAAACAAATAAGTTGTTCCCAAAGAAACTTGAGAATTAAGTCATTTGAACTGATTTTAAATAAGTAGTTTGACCAAACAGCAAAGATAATATTTTGAGAGCAATAAGGGGAACGACAAAATATTACGTGCCATTTTTAGATATACTAGCAAAACACAACACTGTAATAAAACAATAATAACAGAGTAGAGGTCTGCGGAGGACTGTTTTTTCAACCTGATCTAACGAGGAAACTTGACTATTTTTATGTTTTGTCAGTTTAGTGGCTACAGTATATCAGTAGTGGAAATGCAAGCTTGATTAGGGTGACCCATACCGAAATGCGAATTTTACTGTCCTGTTAACCTTATTCTTAATAATCATTGACCTCACTTAGTCGCATATGGGAAAAATGACTAGAAATAATAAACGGCAGAAAACAGTCAACAACCACTTGCCTTCCAAACAAGTGTGTGAATGACCTTACATAAAAAGGAGAATAATATGATACGAAAATATTACCCAAGCTCATTCTGAAAACATCCCCCTATATACATTTGGGGAGAGCACCAAATATGTCCCAGGAGCTACGTATTTTTGTTTTCACGAACCTGCCAGAGGCCGCTGTGTATGCGTTTTGAGATCTAAAATTTCGACTGACTGGCTGACTGACCCACCCTCTTCCCTAAACCCAACCGATAGTGTTTTCAAAAGCACTGACTGACCCGCTCACCCACTTCAACAGCAATCCAGAAAAAGAAAAGCCCTCACAGCAGCCTGATTTTCACCACGTTTTAAGATTTTACCACATTCTTTCTTATTTTTTTGGCTTTTGTTTTTGTCTTACCCGCTTTCTGGAATCGTTGTTCGCCGGATTCGAACCCACAAGTCTGCCGAAATACGCAACGAGCCACTGGACAATCTGGTAACAGTGGAAAAGCCGTCCATACAGAGGCAAGTGGTCAGCTGGTAAGCGTGAAAAGGAACGCCGTCCAAATACACCATGCACCAATACGTTCCTCTGGCTACATAATTTGCGATCTCCAAAAATGTATATAGGGCTACGTTTTCAGAATGAGCCTACGTTGGAAGTAAATGAGACCAAAAATCTTGAGCCAAATAGTTACCCCTGCTTATATGAGAAGAATAAGATCAGTACTATACTTAATCCCATTACTCAATGGAAACAAGCCATTACATCCAGCTATATTATTTAGGTAGACTACACCATTTTAGTGCGCACTTTAATATTCCCAACGAGAAACCCGTGTTAAAGCAGACTGTGTATTAGTAATTATTAGAGCTCATTAAACAGTCAAAGCACAGCCTTCCTTCAGCATTCACTTATTTCCACAAAAGAGAAAAGCCACTTATTCCATCCCAGAACAATGTGTCTTTTCCAGAGCGACGGGCCTTAATGAAGGTTTGGCAGAGGCGCGTTTAGAGCCGAGAGGTGCTTACCTTTGATGCCGAATTTTGAGTTTCGGCCAAACTTCAGAATGACGAGCATCAAGACGAAGCCTGTGAATGTGATGGCAGCGATTCCCACGACCACGTACACCTACCAGGAGAATAAAGAGCCTTCAAATGGCAGCCACTGCATTCAGTTTCACCCCAAAACCCAAAGCTCTCCATTAGGGAAAGATTGCGACCATTTTCTTATTTACGACTCATTTAGTTTAGGAGTTTGCTGAACTAAGAACTGCTGGATATACATCATGAATGGCCTAATGTGTCCTGTTGTAGGTTGTACTCATGTTGTACCCCAGGAATTTTTCACAGTATTTCCTGTAATATTTTTTCTTCTGAATAAAGTCTGATTTGGTTTATTTTGGCTAGAATGCAAGCAGCTTTTAATGTTTTCAAACCATTTTAACACTTTATTTTGATGGTCCATTTGCGAATTAGTAGACTGTCTGCTTAATATATGTTGATTCGGCTCCTTCAACAGACATTTAACTAACTATAAGCAACTTTGTAAGTACATGTCAACTAACACTAACCCTAACCCCAACCCCAACCTTACAGTCTAATCTTCTGAGAATTAGTTGGCATGCAGATGCAATGTAGGGTGCTTTCACACGTAGACTTTTGTGTTGGAACCTGTCTCGTTTGCCCAGTTGGTGCAGTTTGTTTGGCATATGTGAATCCAGCAATCGCGCTCGGATCCGCACCAAAACAATTGCTTCGAATGTGGTGGTCTCGGTTCGACTGAAACAAACTTTAGAGCGGATCGATTGTAGTGAGCAGGGTTCTTGCACCATTTTAAAAGTAAAATTTAATGCTTTTTAAGACCTTTTTAAGACCTCAACAAAAATAATTTAAGACCCAAAAATTTCATAATTTCTTTGGAATAGGCTACTCATTTTAATGTCCTTGTTAGATTTAAATGAATTGTGCCTCGTCACAGTATGGATAACCCACAGTACCTGCCTTTTGAGTGTCTGGCGGTGAAATTAAACTGTTATAGCTGACTGTGAGTTGGCGTCTGAACAAGAGCTGTAATCGGTCCATAAAAGTTAGGCCCGCTAGAGCCCGAACCCGACAAGTACATATTGATTGACAGCTTTTTAAAAGCCCAAAACCGTGTATAGCCCGACATTATTCAAATGAGCACATGCACACAGCTCTCTTGCCTTTTTTCAGGAATGAGTTGTTTATATGTGTTAACATTACTTGTTCGTTTCACACATACTAAAATGATCAACTATTAGACGTTTTACGGTGGACCACTGTGCTTCCCTATCATCATTAAGCACACCGGCTGAAAATGTAATACCGAACAGCCACTTTACTGTAAATTTAAGATAATTTAAGACCTTAATTTCCCGGATTTTATTTTAAGACATTTTAAGACTTTTTAAGGACCAGCGGGAACCCTGAGTGAGAAAGCGATACGAGCCGAGCCTGGTTATATCACAGTGTTTTATAAATACGTAATAGGCATACGGCATTATGAAGAGAGAATTATGAGTAGGGCGGGAGGTCATTCAACAGACATCCCATGTCGGATGCCTGCAAACGAGTGATTTAATCTCCCGGAAATCACACGTCTCCCTCCCCGTACTCAAATACGTTGCGCACCCTTCTCACCTCTCCCCATCGCATCCCTCCTCGCTCTTCAGACACGTCACGTGCCCTTTCAAACACCACCAAACCCCCCCCGGACAGCTGAGCGGGACTCTGCAAAATAAACCCTGAAACTCTGACCAAAGTGAGGAGAGTTTACTCAAACGTGACTTCTTTTATCTCTTTTGGTCCGTTTAGAAACTTTGCCGTGTGAAAGCGAACCGCTCCAAGAGCAAAGAGCAACAATTTGAATCCCTGTTTGGAAACAACTGAATCGATTCACAGGTGTGAAAGCACCCTTAAATTCAACAAACGGACCATCAAAATAAAGTGTGACCCAACATAATCATAGTAATTTGAGTTTACTTACAGCAACTTTGTCCTCAGGAGGTCCAAGTGGAGTGTCGTCTGTTTTATAAGAGAAGAACAGAATCAGATACAGAGGCATCTCATATTACAAATCGACCATCAGTGTGTGTGTTTTAGTGTTTTTGTTCATACCTGTAGTGGCATCTCACACACAAGAGAACAGAGAGAAGAAGGGAAATTTAGGATTAAGATGAATTATGTTTTCAATGTATTTTATTTGTAGCATTATAAATGACACATTACATAATAAATACCCCCAAATTAAATGTTCACTCCAAGAAGACATTTTATTAAGCTGTAGTATTATTTTGTTTTGCAATGAACTTTAAACATTCTTAAATAAAGATGTATTTAGTCCAGAAAGAAAATGACATAGGTAAACATGCATCAAAATTAAAAAGATAGTTCACCCAGAAATGAAAATTCTGTCGTCATTTACTCATCTTTTGATTCAGATCTTTTCAAACCCAATAGTAGTCGTTCAGTTCAGTTCAGGGCTGCATTTCCCAAACAACGACGTAACTCTCAGCTGAACTGTCATAGGGCGATGCATCGTTTGGGAAAAGAACGATGTAGTGACGAGTGTTTCACAAAATCTGTAGTTTCTCAGTCACAGATCCATCGTTTAAACATTGTTAATTATAACCCTGATATAGACTGCATAATATAATATTATAATAATATTATAATATAGACCATAACTTTGACCGTAAGTAGTGTAATATTAATAAAGGAATTCTGTTTATTGTTTTTATTTGAATCTATGTTGTCTTCAGACTTTTATGTGTAAAAAAAAACTTCTAAAGGTTTGCGACTGCTTGATGTAGAGTAAAAAGTGAGTATATTTTTATTTTTGGGTGAACTATCCCTTTAGGCAAATTTGTAATTATAAATGGAAAGACTGTCAGTGGAGTAAGAAGATTTAAACTGGCTTTCCCTTTAAATTATTATTATTATCTATTTTTTATTTGATTATCTTGATTTAATCATAAATGACTTAATTTTGATACATTCATTCAGTCGTTTTCTTTCAGATTAGTCTATATTTTAGAGATCGCCACAGGGGAATTAACCGCCAACTATTCCAGTTTATTTTTTACGCAGCAAATGCACTTCCAGCCACAACCCAGTACTGGGAAACACCCATAAACTCTCACATTCACACATACACTCATACACTACGACCAATTTAGTTTATTCAATTCACCTATGGAACATGTCTGTGGACTGTGGGGGAAACCGGAGTACCCAGAGGAAACCCACGCCAACACAGGGAGAACATCCAAACTCCTTACAGAAATACCAACTGGTCCAACCAGCGACCTTCTTGCTGTGAAGTGATAGTGCTAACCACTGAGCCACTGTGCCGCCTCTAATTTTGATACATTTTTCCCTTGATAAATTAAATTTGCATCTCAAGAAATGTCTTGATTCAAAAATCTGATGAAAATATGAAAATAAATAAAATAATGTGTAAATAATCCAAACAACATGTACAAATTTACATTTTGGAGTGAACTTTTACTTTAGTCATTGATATTCCTGCCAAACAAAAAAACCTCAAAGGAGACTCACCATAATACAGTGGTTCGGAAACTGATTCAGATGAGCAAACATGAAAAAAAAAACAGACACGGTCTCAGAAACTGTCTATAACATTCACTGTAAAGCTTTATTTACACTTCTGCGTCGAGTGATGGCGGTATTTGCATGTAGCCAACTCCATTGTGAGCATTTATACTTCTGGTCTGTGTCTGTGCTGTTCTACAATACCACTTCCAAAGTGCTAGTTGGCAGAAGTGTTTCGATGGCCCACTTTGTCTATTTGTTGTGCCAACATTTTAGGCTCTATTTTGAGTATCCATGCGCAAAGTGCAAAGCGCAGGGCGCATTTAGGGCATGTCGAAATCCACTTTTGCTAATAGAAGGGCGGAAAATCCACTTTGCGCCGAAGCGCATGATCTAAAAGGGTTGAGCTTATTTTCTTAATGACTTATAGGTGTGTTTTAAGAATCAACCAATCAGAGTCTCATCTCACATTCTCTTTAGGAGTCAGTTGCGTCGTGCCATAAGCGCATTTGCTATTTGCTATTTACATGATGAACTTTGTAAGTGGAAAAACTGAGTGTTTCACTAGCAAGAAAACAGTTAAACAACATCTGCAGCGCGGGAATGAGAGATGAGCCTCCTCATTATTTACTTTCACTTTCACTCTCGTGGTTAAGGAAACGTGTTGTATGCACAGACATCCATTAGCCTATACATAATTAATTTCGTTTGTTAAGCGCAAAGATTTATTTTAAAACTATTTCTAAATTCAGTTCTAATTTCCAGCAAACGAATAAATGAACAATAATGACGAAGTGTGCTCAAAAAACTGAGTTATATCCAAACACACATGCTGTGCCCCATATGGTCTAAAACCTGCAGGTGGGAAAATCTAAGCTTGTTTTTAATAAAACAAATATAAATATGGATATAATAAATAATACTGCTAATAATAATAACATCATATAAAAGCAAATTATCATGAATAAACTGAAAAAGCCCGCCGAGATGAAGAAGGCATGAAAGCATGGTTTTTATATTTATGTAGGCTAGAAAATAATATGTTTTGTAACATTTTAATTCTTTATATTTATATATATATATATATATATATATATATATATATATATATATATATATATATATATATATATATATATATATTATATTATATATATAATATTATATATATTATATATATATTTATTATATTATATATTATATATTATATATATATATATATATATATTATATTATATCCTATATATATCTCCTTAATATTTGTTATTTCATATGTAAAGATATTTGCGTATTGCTCTACATACTGTCTGTTTTAAGCAATGTTAGGTTATTATAGGTAATATATAGGTTATGCTGTAATAAGCATATTAGGCGCACAACTAATATGATAGCGCCCTTTGAGTTTGTGCCAGAAATGTGTCCCCACAACCGTAACACCGGGAGCAGAGCAGTGAGTCAGCAGGAGCGGTGTGTGAGGCGTGCGGGTATGGTTTTTTTTCTGTGCGCATGCCCAGTTTGCCTTTTGATCACACTACATTGCTTTCATCAGCGTTGGTTGGGTTGCATAATGAATGACATCTTTATTTTGGGATTACCACTCCTAATAAATATCAATCTTATCTCAAAGCATTTATTAGGGCACTGACGATTTTTACTGAGGCACGTGCCCTAATAAATGGGGTCTAGTGATGCCCCTGACCACTACCAATCTGACAGATCCTGCGCTCCACGTCGGCAAAACATATTGTCATTATTTTTTGAGGGGTGCGCGTCAGGATACGGCGAAATGTGTGTGACTGCTCAAACGCTCCATCGAATCTACCCCATGCACTCGACGCAAAAGTATAACCTGACAATTTTAACTTGAATGCATGCTAATTTCAACTCACCGTTCCATGGCTCATGCATGAAATGAGCAGATACGGCCTTGCTGTCCTCTCCGAATTGATTTCTGGCCAGCAGCGTGTACATGCCGTTGTTGATGTGCGTGGGACTGTCCAGCTGTAGACAACCGTGGTATTCGCCCTCCGAGTAATCGTGGATCATGGTATGGATGAACTTGCCCTCTTGAATGGGTTGCTCGTCTAATAACCATCTGAGTTTGGGTTTCGGGTTGCCAGACACGCTGAAGGGAATACACCAGTGGTGGTCCGGAATGGCATCTGTCAGCTTGCTGATTACAGGTGGAACTGGCATCCCAAATAACACAAGAATCAACAAGCACAGATGTAACTTCATTATTTATGGTAGCATTATGGTATTGCTAAAATGGATTATTTGACTATTAAAGAATTAGCAGCAGCGGTGTAGCAGCTTTATGTCACCAAGACCATATTTATTACAACTCTAAATCTCAATTTCGAGAGTTGACATGACAGAAATAGTAGGATTACTTTTATTTATTGACCAACAATTCATTATTCTATGAATTAAAACATCATAGCATGTAGATCGGGGATGTCAAACTCAATTCCTGGAGGGCTGCAGCCCTGCACAGTTTAGTTCCAACCCTATTTAAACACACCAGATAAAACGAATTAAGTCCTTCAGGCTTGTTTAAAATCTACAGGTAAGTGTGTTAGAGCAGGGTTGGAACTAAACTGTGCAGGGCTGCAGCCCTCCAGGAATTGAGTTTGACATCCCTGATGTAGACAATATTCATTCATTTTCTTGTCGGCTTAGTCCCTTTATTAATCTGGGGTTGCCACAGCAGAATGAACCGCCAACTTATCCAGCAAGTTTTTACGCAGCGGATGCCCTTCCAGCCGCAACCCATCTCTGAGAAACATCCACACACACATTCACACACTGCGGACAATTTAGCCCACCCAATTCACCTGTAAAACATGTCTTTGGACTGTGGGGGAAACCAGAGCACCCGTAGGAAACCCACGCGAAGGCAGGGAGAACATGCAAACTCCACACAGAAATGCCAACTGAGCCGAGGTTCGAATCAGCGGCCCAGCGACCTTCTTGCTGTGAGGCGACAGCACTACCTACTGCGCCACTGCCTCGCCATGTGGACGGTATGATGCTGAAAGTTCAGCTTTGTATTTCATGCACAATTTTGCTGGAACATTTGGCAACGCTGCAAACTAACCTGGATTTACTGTTTTTAAGAGATTTGATCATTTTGTGCGAATGATACTTTACTATGGTCAAATTTCATCAATAGCAGTAATACTGAGGGCTCTATTTTGATGATCCAGCCGCAAAGTGCAAATCGCAGGGCGCAAAAACATTAAGGGCGTGTCAGAATCCAAAAATCCGCTTTGTGCTGTGGCGCATGGTCTAACAGGGTTGAGCTTATTCTCCTAATGAGTTATAGATGTGTTTTAAGAATAACCCCCCTTGCTGTGAGGCAAGAGTGAGGCACAGTGCTAGCTGCCCTATAGAGGAAAAAGGGAGGAGAGGGGGGTGGAAGGGGCTAAGGTAAATTTACATAGTAATTGGTTTTGAGATACACTTGAATTTTAAGCTGATTTTATTAGACAAAGCATAGGTAATGCTTTAGTTTAAGTACCATTTCACACTATTAACTACTGGTTCCTGACTAGTAATAAGATATTAGCTCTTTATTAGTACTTAAAAAGTATGAACTTATTCCTAAATTCAATACCTAAACCCAACTACTACCTCACTAACAAACAATAAGCAGTTAATTAATAGTTTATGGAGCTAAAATCCTCAGTTAATGGATTGTCAATGGCAAGAACTGTGTGACCAAAATATTTAAATGTAATGGACAGCAGTAATAAGCAGTAATAGCGACAGTGCATTTAGGCCACGCCCCCACTTGAAGGGAAAACAATCCAATGAGCTCCATTGACTTTCTATTGCGGAGGTGTCTCCTTGTCATTTCTGAATAATAATAATAAAACAACAACGTTTAAACGTTACTATGACAAAATGTAAAGTAGACAAGTTATAAAATTTAGAACCAAGTGTTTCAAATCTGTCGACCCCCCAAAAAACGAGTGTTTACAGACATCTTAGTAGAGCGCAACGTCTAACATTGGGTAGGTGGGGGTTGGGGGGTGTTGTTGTGTGACAGGTTGTGCAACGAACAAAATTTTAAAACCTAGAACTAAGTTTTTACAAGCTTCCGAAGCATAAAAATCAGCCTTTAATGAGACAAAAGAGAATATACAACAGTTCCTGTCACCGTTTTTGTTTCCTCATGTAGGCGGAGCCTTAGCTCTCGAATGTGAGATGTTGATTGGTCAGCTCTGATTGGTCAGATGACTCTTCTCTGCTCTGATTGGTCAAATGGCTCTGCTCTGATTGGTCAGAAAGCTGTGCTCTGATTGGTCAGGTGACTCTGCTCTGATTAGTCAGATGACTCTGCTCTGATTGGTCAAATTACATTGCTCTGATTAGTCAGATGGCTGTGCTCTGATTGGTCAAATGACATTGCTCTGATTTGTCAGATGACTCTGCTCTGATTGGTTAAATGATTCTGCTCTGATTGGTCAAATGGCTCTGATCTGATTGGTCAGATGGCTGTGCTCTGATTGGTCAGATGACTCTGCTCTGATTGCTCTACTTTTAAGTCTTTAAACGCTCATTAAACTTTATATTTTGTCACATAACAACTTTTAGAAATCGTTTGCTTTTTTTTCCATTCGTTAGAAATTACAAGTAGGCACCTTCACACAATACAAAGTCAATGGAATGGTTTGGATTGTTCCCCCTCCCCAGTAGGCGTGGATCTCTAGAATGTTCTTATGTTGTGTCTCTTGATAACTTACACAATATGTCCAGCTCCACAGAGGCCTCGGATTCTCCCACCATGTTATCCGATCTGCAGGTGATTCTGCATTTGTTGTCCAGGGAGGAGACGTTCGTCAGTTTGAGCTGCGACCTTGATATCTGACCTGAGCCTTCCTCCTGCGAGTGTAAGTTACAGCAAGGCCAATGTCATTTCTATTTAAAGTCAACACGCAATCCCACCCCACCGTATTTACTTTCATAATGCATATTGTGGAGGATTCGTTACGGTTGCACGTTATTCCAAAGAGAGAAAAAAATATGTTTTTAATCAAAATGAAATCACTGTTGGCGTCATTTCGGCGGATGACCAGCTGCATAATGTTGACAGAGTAATGTTGTTTTTGAGAATATCCTGTTACGCCACATTACGAAAATGGTTTGCAAATGGGAATTTAGATTGACTTTAGGGTGTTTCTACATTGTTCCATTAATCAAAGTCTTAAAATTGGTTTTAAAAAGTTCATATTTAGTTTGTTATCATCTATTATATTCATTTATTAATCTTCCTTAAGCTTAGTTCTTTTATTCATCAGGGGTCCCCACAGCGGAATGAACCGACAATTCTAGCATATGATTGTGTTACCCACTGCGCCACCATGCAGCCAACTATGCAACTAGTCAATAGGTCAATTGATAATATCTTCTTTTGAGTTAAGAAGAAGAAAGAAACTGATAAAGGCTTAAAACCATGTGAGGAAGAGTAAATGATAAGGTTTTTTTAATTTTTAGGTGAACTAACCCTTTACTGGTGAATCTAAAGGACTGATAATAATAAGATGAGGTCTCTTGATTACCTTCTGAGCTGTATATTATATTGTTAAAAACTATATTCTGAAACTAAAACTGTTTTTTTTTTTCTGCAAAAATCTTGAGCAAAAAAATCCAAATGACAACAGATGGGCTTTGGTCTCAGTTTGTCAATAATCCACTCTCAAACCTTGTTAAAACCTCATTAGCATGTAAGACTAACCTTTAATACAAACGTTAAAGTGCCCCATTATGATAATTTCTCATTTTCTTAGGAAGGGCTCCTAAAAAAGTTTTCCATCTATCCATGGTCAGAACACTTTACGTTTCTCTAATATCCACAGCATATGGGGTATTTTTCTCACAGTCTGAAAAGGGTTTCTGAGAGCCTACACTGCTCTGATTGGTCAAATGACTCTGCTCTGATTGGTTAGATAATTCTACTTTGCTCTGATTGGTCAGATGAGTCTACTTTGCACTTATTGCTCAGATGAGTCTGCTCAGAATGGTCAAATGACTACTCTGATTGGTCAGATGACTCTGCTCTGATTGGTCAGATGACTCTGCTCTGATTGGTCAGATGACTCTTCTCTGCTCTGGTTGGTCAAATGGCTCTGCTCTGATTGGTCAGATGGCTGTGCTCTGATTGGTCAGATGACTCTTTTCTGCTCTGATTGGTCAGATGACTCTGCTCTGACTGGTCAGATGACTCTGCTCTGACTGGTCAGATGACTCTGCTCTGATTAGTCAGATGACTCTGCTCTGATTGGTCAGATGACGGTGCTCTGATTGGTCAGATGACCAATCTGCTCTGATTGGTCAAATAACTCTGCTCTGATTATTCAGATGGCTCTTTTCTGATTAGTCAGATGACTCAGCTCTAATTGGTCAGATGACTACTCTGCTCTGATTTGTCGGATGACTCTGTTCTGATTAATCAGATGACTCTGCTTTGATTGGTCAGATGATTCTATGCTGCTCTGATTGGTCAGATGACTACTCTGCTCTAAATGGTCAAATGACTCTGCTCTGATTAGTCAGATGACTCTGCTCTGATTGGTCAGATGATTCTACTCTGCTCTGATTGGTCAGATATCTCTACTCTGCTCTTATTAGTAAGACGACTCAGCTCTAATTAGTCAGATGACTCTGCTCTGATTGGTCAGATGACTCTTCTCTGATTGGTCAGATGATTCTACTCTGCTCTTATTAGTCAGACGACTCAGCTCTGATTGATCAGGTGACTGCTGTGCTTTTATTGCTCAGATGACTCTGCTCTGATTGGTCAGATGACTCTGCTCTGATTGGTCAGATGGCTCTGCTCTGATTGGCCAGATTACTCTCCTGTGCTTAGATTGGTCGCATGATTATACTCTACTCTGATTGGTCAGATGACTCTAGTCTGCTCTGATTGGTTAGATTGTCCAGTCTGTATTGATTTGTCCCACAATAACACACAAATTTCTACTAGAAGGACGTTTATCAGAATTATGTAACAAAATGTACACTAATGCTGTGAAATTGCTCCTTTACCCACTATTCATTATTCCCTGCATTAGTCCACTAATATGGTCCACTTAAAGGAGTGAATGACTGAATTCGAGCATGTTTTGGTCAGACCCTGTGATAGTTATTAAACACTTAGTGCGTTGTCATGTCAAACGAACTATTTCAGGCTCACAAAAAAAGTAAATAGCGCCCTCTAGTGGATTTGTCATTTGAAATGTGCAATGCAACATATTTTACATTCTGTACCAAATGCGGGTACATTTTTTTAATAGGGGATACTTGTGGGAAGACCTGACAAACCTAATACTAATATATATTTGAACGAACATTGAGAGGAATTACCTTGAACGCTGAATTTAGCTTGCAGGTGGTCCAGGTGAGATTTGGAGTGGGCATTCCTGAGGTGTTGCAGGTCAGTGTCACATTTAACCCTTTCTTCATGGTCACGTTTGTGGGCGTGAGAGTCACAGTGGGGAGGACTACAAAGACAACACAGCACAAAACAGAACTATTATACACTAGTTACCAATGAAGAAATACATTTCAGTCAAAAAGCATATAAAATCATATATCGATAAGTATATCGTTTATTTTATCTAGCATTTTATCTAACTGAAAACGTTGAACCTGACCTGACTACATATTGCTTCTGCTGAAGTCTGAGTCCCAGTTAGAAATATTAGCATAATGCAGTCAATAAGCCTATGCAAGGAATGAAGGCAAGACTTCAGTGAATTGTGGTGTTGCTGTCATGTCATAGAGAAACTGGTCAATTCGCTTGAACACACCACTCAATATGCAATCAAACTGACAGAATCTCTGATAAGATACCGTTCAGTACGATATGATATATGATACGATGCGATACGATATAATATGATATGAAATATGATATATGATATTCGATAGGAGACGATGCGGTACAATACGATACAGTATGATATATGATATATATTATTTGATATACGATAAGGTATGATACATAATATGATATACGACACAATACGTTATGACATAATATATGAGATACGATATGATATGACATGATATATGATACTATATGATATGATATATGATATATGACATACGTGATAAGTTGACACGATGCAATATATGATATGATATATGATACGATACGATACAATATACAGTATATGATATACCGTATACGATACGATATATGAGGAATGAGATACGATACAATATGACATGATAAACAATACGATACAATATGATATATAATATACGAAACAATGCATAATGATATATGATATACTATACTATGCAATATGATATATAATATACGATACGATGCAATATGATATATAATATACGATACGAAGCAATATGATATATAATATACGATACGATGCAATATGATATATAATATACGATACGATGCAATATGATATATAATATACGATACGATGCAATATGATATATAATATACGATACGATGTAATATGATATATAATATACGATACGATACAATATGATATATAATATACGATACGATGCATAATGATACATGATATACGATACGATGCAATATGATATATAATATACGATACGATGCAATATTATTTATATAATATATGATATGATGCAATATGATATATAATATACGAAACGATGCATAATGATATATGATATACGATACGATGCAATATGATATATAATATACGATACGATGCAATATTATTTATATAATATATGATATGATGCAATATGATATATAATATACGAAACGATGCATAATGATATATGATATACGATACGATGCAATATGATATATAATATACGATACAATGCAATATGATATATAATATACGATACGATGCAATATGATATATAATATACGAAACGATGCATAATGCTATATGATATACGATAGGAATGCAATGTGATATATAATATACGATACGATGCAATATGATATATAATATACGATACGATGCAATATGATATATAATATACGATACGATGCAATATGATATATAATATACGATACGATGCAATATGATATATAATATATGATACGAAGCAATATGATATATAATATACGATACGATGCAATATGATATATAATATACGATACGATGCAATATGATATATATTATATGATACGATGCAATATGATATATAATATACGATATGATGCAATATGATATATATTATATGATACGATGCAATATGATATATAATATACGATACGATGCAATATGATATATAATATACGATATGATGCAATATGATATATGATATACGATACGTTATGATCAGATATGATATAATACAATGCGATATGATGGTGGTTAGCACTGTCGCCTTACAGCAAGAAGGTCGCTGGTTTGAGTCCCAGCTGGGACAGTTGGCATTTCTGTATGGTGTTTGCATGTTCTCCCTATGGTTATGTGGGTTTCCAAAGACATGCGCTATAAGTGAATTGGATAAACTAAACTGGTTTTCCAGTGATGGGTTGCGTCTGGAAGGGCACCCGCTGTGTAAAACATATGTTGGAATAGTTGGCGGTTCATTCAGCTGTGGTAACCTCTGTAATAGAAACTAAGCCGGAGGAAAATAAATGATATGATATGATATGATATGATATGATATGATATGATATGATATGATATGATATGATATGATATGATGGTGGCACGGTGGCACGGTGGCTCAGTGGTTAGCACTGTCGCCTCACAGCAAGAAGGTCGCTGGTTTGACTCCTGGCTGGGTAAGTTGGTCCAAAGACATGCACTATAGTAGAATTGAATGAACTAAAATTGGCCGTAGTGTATGAGTCTGTGAATGAGTGTGTATGGGTGTTTCTCAGTACAGGGTTGCAGCTGGAAGGGCATCCGCTGAGTAAAACATATGCTGGAATAGTTGGCAGGTTATTCTGCTGTGGCGACCTCTAAAATAGAGACTAAGCCGATGGATGATGTGATATATGATATGATATGATATGATATGATATGATATGATATGATATGATATGATATGATATGATATGATATGATATGATATGATATGATAATATATGATGTTTCTTCTATCTCCACTCTTTTGCCTCAGCCTCCAGGTCCATTGGTGTCCCACAGTCCCATCTGCTCTGAGCCTTCGCCCAGGGCTCTTCTGTCATCCGCTCTATCCCCTGGGTGTCATTAGCCAAAGCTTCTCTCTCCATTGACACCTCCAAAGGCTCCCATTCTAGCTGTTTTTCCTACCCTGGCTTTTCCTACTGGTTTTAGTTCCTGCGTGTTTTGGTTACTCTCTCTGGTATAAGTTCATGTCTTTCATCCTTCAGCATACATTTGTTTTCCTCTTAAACTCCTCCTCAAACTGCAAAAAAGTTTTTGTCATGTTTCTAATTAAATATGTCAAGCAGTTTCTAGAAAAGTAAAAACTATTGTTTTGTTTTCAGAAATGCTGTGTTTTCAGAAATTATTTTCCATGTTTAAGGGTAAATGTCACTTCGCTCACTATATATGTTCACATTACTAGTACCAGGTTGGCCCAGCTTTTGCTTCAGTTTCCTGTTCTTGGCTGACAGGAGTGGCACCCGGTGTGAACTTCTGCTGCTGTAGCCCATCCGCCTCAAGGTTGGACGTTGTGCGTTCATAAATGCACTTCTGCAGACCTCAGTTGTAGCGAGTGGCTATTTGAGTTACTGTTGCCTTTCTATCAGCTGGAACCTGTCTGGCCATTCTCCTCTGACCTCTGGCATCAACAAGGCATTTGCGCCCACAGATCTGCCGCCCACTGGATATTTTCTCTTTTTTGCACCATTCTCTGTAAACCCTAGAGATGGTTGTGCATGAAAATCCCAGTAGATCAGCAGTTTCTGAAATACTTAGATTAGCCCTGCTGGCACCAACAACCATGCCACATTCAAAGTCAATTAAATCTCCTTTCTTCCCCATTCTGATGCTCGGTTTGAACTGCAGCAGATCATCTTGACCACGTCTACATGCCTAAATGCATTGAGTTGCTGCCCTGTGGTTGGTTGATTAGAAATTTGCATTAACAAGTATTATATATTAATATATATACACTCACAGGCCACTTTATTAGGTACACCTATATATATATATATTCAGCTGTTTGTATCCATGAATGTATTTTGTAAATTAAAATGATTATTAGACTGATTCTGACAGTTCTGTTTATATTTTTTCATAATTTCATATTTTTTATTTTTTTATTATTGTAAATTGTTCTAGCAATATTTACTTCTTCAAGTAAGTTTTTAGTTCTTTAATTAATTTTTTTATTGTATGTTTACTCAAAAATAAAACTCAAAAATAAAAAAAGAGTGTTTATTTTATTAAATTTGATCTCAGAAATCGAACAATTTCTTCATCTGAATTACAGGAATGCCATTCTAGTCTGCTGGTGCTCTCGCTAAATTAAAGGCCAAAGAGTGCAGTCAGCACTGGCTCCTTCTGTCGTGAATCAGATCTCTATCTCTGTGTGCTACCATCTGCAGCAGTTTACATCCTTATCATCATGTCTCTGGTACTGTATATTTGCTACTCCAGGCCACAGAGATCATTTTAAATGGGACCTATTATGCAAAAATCACTTTTATAAAGGGTTTAAATACTGTTGTATGGCAACAGTTTGTGAATATAGCCAGCCTCTAATAGTAAAATTGAATTAATTCTATTTTAATCACACTTGATAAAATCAGTCTGCAGAAACACTTTGATTGACATTCTCCCTTTGTACGTGTCATCAAAGGGGGAAAGCCCCACCCATTAGTGACAATCTCTCCCTCAGTAGCATAAACAGCCCTAAGTGAGAAGCAGCCGCCCGCCTTTAGAGCTTTGAATCTGCTGCAATGGTGATGCAGAAGCGTTTATAGCTCCACCCTCTTTTCAAAAAAAACATTTCTCATTTGAATTTAAAGCGACACCAAAACGACACTATTTATAATTATAATAATTATAATATAATTCAGTAAAAAGAATGCTAGAACTGTATGAGCACCATCAAGAGCTTTCATTTGAGCTATAACTTGTACATGTGTCATATGAAAAATATGAAAATTATCCATCGTTCAACCACTTAAGGGGGTCTCGTGCAATGCTAGCACTTCAAATCTTATAGCGAAAGTCGATGACATCACGGAGTTTAACTGGTTAATGCACTTGACAGATTTCATTCATTCATTTTCCTTCTGCTGTTTCCCTGGTTTGATCACAGCAGAATGAACCGCCACTTACTTGACAGATGTATATATTTTTTTAATTTTAGGTAGTTAGTGTAATGTGTTTTATGTTTGGTAAAATAATTTCTAGTTTCATCTTTGGAATTTTCCAATAGGTGGATTTAGAGGTTTTTGCATAAAAAGCACTAGTGGATTTAGATGTTTTTGACGCAAAAGAAAATCTACCTTGTTAAAAACCGAATAATTGTCTGAAGTGACATTTTTGAAAAAAGGTATTGTATTTACTACCTAATAACCTTAACAATTAATATATAATGAAACTTCTAAACCTAATCAGAGGAGCCTGATAGAAATTGCTCATTTACAAGAAAGGAGGTCTGATGGATTTAGAGCAGGGGTGGCCAACCCTGTTCCTGGAGATCTACCTTCCTGCAGATTTCAGTTGCAACCCTTATCAAACACACCTGTCTGTAATTATCAAGTGGATTTCAGGTCCTAATTAATTGGTTCAGGTGGGTTTGATCAGGGTAGGAGCTAAACTGTACAGGAACAGGATTGAGCACCCCTGATTTAGAGGGTTTTGCATCTGAACTCTTCAAATGATGGTGAGATATATTTCAGATTGAGCACCACCAGCTTGTTTTTCTTGATAAACCTTCCTTTTCTAGTATACAAGTGATTTTACCACAGTTAATTTGCCACTATAGCTGGTCCCGAAATCATGGTTAAGATAAAACAATTCAGTGGAGCAGCTCATTTTCTTTCATGTTACAAAAGTGGAAGGAAAAGCAGCATTTGGCCTAAATCCAGCAGAAGAGTCTTAGAGCTAAATGTCTCAGTGTTTTGCATTCTGGGGATCCCCCTGTCTGTCTCTATTTTCCCTTTTCCTCTCTCTCTCTCTCTCGTCCTCTCTTCCTCCCTCGAGGGCCTTCTGCTGTGGTATTGCTTAAAATAGGCCTGGCTGGAGGCTTATCTCTGGATCAATAAGTATCCACGTCTCAAGCCACAGCCATAAAACGATGGACAAATCACATCTTACCAAACACACCAGCGCAAACGTCAGTCTTAAATCCTATATTAGCTCTGTTCTGAGTAAACCATGGGAATTTTGTCTGTGATTCTTAGTTATCCAGGTCAGAGTTCATTATTTTACTTCATTCTTTCAAAATCTTTCATTCATTTTCCTTTGGTTTAGTCTCTATTTCAGGGGTTGCCACGGAGGAATGTATGGAGATATGTATTACGCAGTGGATGCCCTTCCAGCTGCAACCCAGTACTGGAAAACATCCATACACACTCATTCACACACATACACTACGGCCAATTTAGCTTATTTAATCCACCTATAGCACATGTCTTTGGACTTTGGGGGAAACCGGAGCACCCGGAGGAAACCCACACCAACATGGGGAGAACATGCAAACACCTCACAGAAAAACCTCCTGGTCCAGCCAGGACTCGAACCAGTGACCTTCTTGCTGTGAGGTGACAGTGCTAACAACTTAGCCACTTGCTTAAAATCTCCTGATCTTAAAAGTAAAATGAGCGTTCTCGTAATATGACGGGAGTGCATGTGTCTGTGTGTGTTTAAAGTCTGATCCAGCTCTTACCGCAGTCGGGCAGCGTGAGTGTCGCCAGCGCTCTCCTCTTTCCTCCCTCCTCCACACACAGCAGCTCTTCTGCCTCTTCCACCCGCCACTGCTTCAGCCACATGTTGTCACACAAGCACTGCAGAGGATTGCCTGCCAGCAGCCTGCAAATATACGACCACATACAAGTCTATTAGGACAGAGCCCTGAGACATGCTGTACATTCATTCATTCATTCATTCATTTTCCTTCTGCTTATAGTATCTGCGCATCTATAACAACGTACAAAACAAAAACAAACAAAAAAGCATCATGAAACAAAACCCAAAACAAAACAAAACACTCAACCCCACCCCACACCACCCAACAAAACTCGACTCAACTCATAAAACAAATAAAACAAAACTCAAGTCAACGCAACCCTCAACCCCACCAAAACAAAACAAAACAAAACAAAACAAAACAAAACAAAACAAAACAAAACAAAACAAAACAAAACAAAACAAAACAAAACAAAACAAAACAAAACAAAACAAAACACTCAACCCCACACAACAAAACTCGACTTAACTCAGCTCAACAAGTCAAGTCAATAAAGCAGGGCGAAACAAAACAAATCAAAACAAAGAAGACTCAGCTCAACTAAACACAACACAACACATCACTCAACAAAACTTAACACAACACAGCACAACACAAAATAAAACCCAAATCAACTCAACAAACCTCAACTCAACACAACACAAAACAAAACCAGAATCAACTCAACACAACACAACACAATACTCAACTCAACACAGCAAAACACAACACAATACAACACACAAATTAACTCAACACAACTCAACAAAACACAACCCAACAAAATATTGAACACAACACAAAACCCAAATCAGCTTAACTCAACAACACGCTCAACTTAACAAAACTCAACACAACACAAAACTCAACTCAAACCAAACCAAACCAACCCAAATCAACTTAACTAAACACTCAACTCAACAAAACTCAAAAAAATTAACACAACACAGCACAACACAACACAATACTCAACACAACACAACAGAAAAGTCAACTCAACTCAACCCAACCCAAGTCAACACAACACAAAATTCGACTAAACACAACCTAACCCAATTTAACTCAATTCAACCCAGCCCAAAACAAGTGAACTCAAATCAACTCAACACAACACAAAATTCAACTAAACACAACCCAACTTAAGTCAATTCAACTCAATTCAACCCAACCAAAAACAAGTGAACCCAACTCAACTCAACACAACACAAAATTCAGCTCAACACAACCAAACCCAACCCAAGTCAACTCAACTCAACATGCAACTAAAAAAAATTCAACAAAACACAATACTTAACTCAACACAAAACAACACAAAACTCAACTCAACTCAAATCAACTCAATTTAACCCAATATTTGACTCAACAAAACAAAACACAATACAACACAAAACCCAACCCAAGTCAACTCAACTCAATTCAACTCAACATGCAACTAAAAAAAAAAACTCAACAAAACACAATACTTAACTCAACACAAAACAACACAAAACTCAACCCAGCTCAAATAAACTCAATTTAACCCAATATTTGACTCAATAAAACACAATACAACACAAAACCCAACCCAAGTCAACTCAACTCAATTCAACTCAACATGCAACTAAAAAAAACAAAACTCAACAAAACACAATACTTAACTCAACACAAAACTCAACTCAACTCAACTCAAATGGACTCAACTCTCAACTCAACTCGACTCGACTCGACTCGACTCAATTCAACTCAACATTTGACTCAACAAAACAAAACACAATACTCAACACAAAACAACACAAAACTCAACCCAACCCAAGTCAACTCAACTCAATTCAACTCAACATTCAACTCAACAAAACACAATACTCAATACAAAACAAAACAACACAAAACTTAACTCAACCCAACCTAAGTCAACTCAGCTCAACTCAACTTGATTCAACTCAACACTCAAATCAACAAATCTCAACACAGCGCAAAACTCAACTCAACCCAAGTCAAGTCAAGTCAAGTCAAGTCAAGTCAAGTCAAGTCAAGTCAAGTCAAGTCAAGTCAAGTCATGTCATGTCATGTCATGTCAACTAAATTCAATTCAACTCAACACAACATTACACAAAACTCAAGTTAACAAGTCAAGTCAACAAAGCAAAGCGAGGTAAAACAAAACAAAACAAATCAAAATAAACAAAACTGAACTCAAAACAAAGCACAGAACTATTTATTTTCTGTTTCTGATTGGTTTTACTCATGCAAAGGCTGACACATACATGTAACAGACAAATCAGTTGGACATTAAAAAAAGCTTAGATAACTAAAATCATAAAAGACTCACAGATATGAGATGTTTAAATGACGAAACGTCCTCCAGGATAGTTTGGACAGATTGTTCTCCTTGAGATTCCTGTAGAAAAAGGCAATCATCAGCACTAAAAAAAAAAAAATGTTATAAAACAAACTAAATTACAAGAGTAATTCATTTCTAAAACATTTCTAAAACTTTTTAAACACGCAAAACAACCAAACATGGACCTCCAGCTCCTCCCCAACTAAACCACTCACAGATATTGTAGTTTCGGGTTGCTCTGGAAGGCCAGCCTGGCAATGTATGCCAGCTTGGTGTTTATGACGGTTCTGTAGGAAAAGACAAACAATGAGGTCAAACGTTTCCATCTCACAGCTTATAAAGAGAATAAAAAACGATGATCCACAGTTTAGTACTTACAGGTTTCTGAGGCTGCGGTAAAATTCGAGATCTCTTTCATTAATGGACGTGAAACTAATTTGATTTGCAATGTATCTGTAAACAACAACAACAACAACAACATTACTAAGGGTACATTTCAAAGCAATAATAAAATTAAACATTTTTAAAGAGAAAATAAATACTAAGATTTATTATCATCGTCATTATTATTTTTTTATTATTATTTTATTATTATTATTATTATTATCATTATTATAATTTTTATTATTTTTTATTATTATTATTATCATCGTCATTATTATTTTTATTGTATTATTATCATTATCATTATTATTATCATTATTATAATTTTTTATTATTATTATTATTATTATTATTATCATTATTATCATCCTTATTATAATTTTTTTATTATTATTTTATTATTATTGTTATTATTATTATTATTATCATCGTTATTATGATTTTTTTATTATTATTATTACTATCATTATTATTTTTTATTAGTTTTATTATTATCATTGTCATTATTATTATTATTTTTATCATTTTTTATTATTTAATTATTATTATTATCATTGTCATTATTATTATTATTTTATTATTATTATTATTATCATTTTTGCAATTATTATTTTATTATTATTATCATCATCATCATCATCATCATCATCATTATTATTATTATTATTATTATTATTATTATTATTATTATTATTACTATTATCTACATTTGCGTAGGTTTCCTCTGGGTGCTCCGGTTTCCCTCACAGTCCAAAGACATGTGGTACAGGTGAATTGGGTAGGCTAAATTGTACGTAGTGAATGAGTGTGTGTGTGGATGTTTCTCAGAGATGGGTTGCAGCTGAAAGGGCATCTGCTGTGTAAAAACTTGCTGGATAAGTTGCCGGTTTATTCCGCTTTGGTGACCCCGGATTAATGAAGGAACTAAGCTGAAAAGAAAATGAATGAATATTATTATTATTTTTATTTTATTATTATTATTATTACAGTTTTTCTTGTTTTCTTTGACCTGGTTTAAGAAACTACAGGATCCACTCCATTTTCCTCATCACTATAACAGCAGAGCAGAAGACATGCCTTGAAAATGTGTAAACTCTGTCTCATTGAATTGACACATTTCCCCCAACATTTTTCAAAACAGTTAACACAGATGTCATTCAAGCAGTCCAAACTCCATTGTTTTAACTATGGTATCCAAACAGAAACCATCTATTTCTAACTATTAGAAACTACTAAGATTAGTATGAAATCTCCGAAGTACTGAATCTCTAAAGCATTGGTTTGACACTCCTTCAAATAGCAATCAGTCCGCAAACCTTATAAAAACAGAGGGAGGTCTGGCTATGTCTTAGGGCGTACTCACACTATGCTATCCGAACCTTGCCCAGGTCTGTTTCCCGGATCATTTGAAAAGTGAGCGCAAGCCCCTGAATGCACGACAGCTGCACCTTCAGCAAACCTCCTAATAGCTGCAGCACGAGGACTTTATGATTGTTTATGAGCGTCAAAAGTGGCTGCGTGTCACTGCATCTCAAACGATTTAAAACAATATAACGATGTAAAGAAATCTCCACTGTGCTGAGCGAAAGCACCTGAACAGCGCATCATCGATGACGTAAGGCCCGAATGCCATGTGATGGTAATGTTACGAGTAGTTTTGTGTAGGCTTGTGTGTGGTGTTTCTCTCTCGCTCTATCTCTCTCTCTATTTCTCTCGCTCTCTCTCTCTTTCTCGCTCTAAGTATTCGCAGGTGCAGCGGATAACATTGGGACGGATCATGATTGGCGCTTGGATTGGCGGCGGCTATAAAAACCTGCAGAGAACATGGGTTCGATGGCTCCCCGCTCTCTCTCGATTCCCCGTTTGTGCTGAGTGGAGACTAGCGATCAAATGAGTGTTTGCTTCTATCTCTTTGTGGCATTATGTGAGATGCCGATGTGTTGTTGTTCATATTTAACCGGCGATTGAGGCCCGGTTTTCTGTCTCCCTGTCGGGCTTGGAGCATGCAGGGAGGTTTGGTGCCTTATTTGTTATTTTCGTTTTCTCCTGCATTTGTTAGTAGGGAGGTAAGTTTTCTGTATTTTATTTTATTTGTTTTCTAGGGAAGTTTAATCTAATTTGGTTTATTGTCATTTATTTTGGCTAAACCCCTCCTGGTGTTATTTTTGCTCCTTATTTCTGTAAATAAATAATATTTTCTTGTTAATTCTCAGTGGTTGTGTTTTTGGTGTATATTTTGGGGAGAGAGAGCGCGGGGGCACCAGGGATTATATTTTTAATCCCTGTTATTTTGTTACGTTTTGGTTAAATCTCTTTTTGATTAAGGATTTCTAATTTAATTTGTAACAGTAATTATGTCATCATTAACCTGCAGGCTGCATTCTGCTTATTGGGCTGCAAGAAAATAAAGAAAAAGAGTGGAGCTGCGGTAAAATAATGAATAAAAAGAGTGAGGCTATGGTCAAATAAATACATAAATAAATGAAAAAAAGTGTGACTGCTGAGAGTGCAAGCAGCTATAGGACACCAGGCCAAAAAACGGACCGGGGGTGCTCCTGATTAGCCAGTCCGGGCCTAATTTACAGTGTTTTATTACTGTTTTGTTCTTTACAGTAACAGCATTTCAGTTTTCAGCCACAGTTTGATGTCATGAATTCAACATTCTGGATCCAGTTCTTTGCAAAAAGGCAAATTTGACAGCCCAAATAGAAAGACAACAAACGGCATGGGCTACAAGGACAAGCAAAGATGCACTGATTCACACTGAGTTCTGCATTTTGTTGTCTATTGATTAAAAGAGCTCATATACTTGTTTGCAAGTTGTGTTGTTTGAAAGTAAAATTAGCTTTTGTTGCATATTTTACAGTTTTTTTATGATTGCTTACACACTAAAGTTTAACTTTTGCCACAACAACCAAAACCGTACACTCAAGGAGCAAAGCACAAGGCTAGATCAGCTTAGATTGCAAATCACTAAACACGCTTGTTTGCATTTGACACAGAAATTTTTCATGATGAAATTTCCTTGCAATTTCAAAGCAAAGACTGATGCCAATTGGTTAAGCACAGCCATCAGATGTGCAGGCACACTGGTGCAAAACTGTAGACACACCAATCAGCTGGAACCACAATAAAAGGCAATGGCTATAAACTATTAGTCTTCATTAATTACGTTTACAGTAGCATAGCTATAAACTATTAGTCTACAATAAATATGTTTACAGTAGCATAGCTATAAACTATTAGTCTTCATTAATTACGTTTACAGTAGCATAGCTATAAACTATTAGTCTACAATAAATATGTTTACAGTAGCATAGCTATAAACTATTAGTCTTCAATAAATACGTTTACAGTAGCATAACTATAAACTATTAGTCTTCATTAATTACGTTTACAGCAGCATAGCTATAAACTATTAGTCTACAATAAATACGTTTACAGTAGCATAGCTATAAACTATCAGTCTTTAATAAATACGTTTACAGTAGCATAGCTATAAACTATCAGTCTTTAATAAATACGTTTACAGTAGCATAGCTATAAACTATCAGTCTTTAATAAATACGTTTACAGTAGCATAGCTATAAACTATCAGTCTTTAATACGTTTACAGTAGCATAGCTATAAACTATTAGTCTTTAATAAATACGTTTACAGTAGCATAGCTATGAACTATTAGTCTTCAATAAATACGTTTACAGTAGCATAGCTATAAACTATTAGTCTACAATAAATACGCTTACAGTAGCATAGCTATAAACTATTAGTCTTTAATAAATATGTTTACAGTAGCATAGCTATAAACTATCAGTCTTTAATAAATACGTTTACAGTAGCATAACTATAAACTATAAGTCTACAATAAATACGTTTACAGTAGCATAGCTATAAACTATTAGTCTTCAATAAATACGTTTACAGTAGCATAGCTATAAACTATCAGTCTTCAATAAATACGTTTACAGTAGCATAGCTATAAACTATTACTATTCATTAAATGCGTTTACAGTAGCAAAGCTATAAACTATTAGTCTTGATTAATCATTTACAGTGTAGCGATATAATGAATATAGGGATTCAGTACTGTATATAAAATCAACAAAGGCATAACAGTAAAAAGCAAAGCTTGTGCATCCTAGAGGATAATATTTAGATCATTTTAGAGTTGATTTGTTTTTTTTATATCAAATGGTGTCAGCGTTTAATTTATTTAAGTGTTTACAGTGTATCCAAATTACTGAAAATATGGATCCAGTGCTGTATATAAAATCAACAAAGGCATAACAATAAAGAACAAAGCTTGTGTATCATAGGGAATAATATTTAGATAATTTTAGAGTTGATTTGTGTTTTTAATCTCAAATTGTGTCAGTGTTTAATTCATTTAAGTGTTTACAGTGTATCCGAATAACTGAAAATATGGATTCAGTACTGTATATAAAATCAACAAAGGCATAACAATAAAGAACAAAGCTTGTGCATCATAGGGAATAATATTTAGACAATTTTAGAGTTGATTTGTATATTTTTATCTCAAATGGTGTCAGTGTTTAATTCATTTAAGTGTTTACAGTGTATCCGAATTACTGAAAATATGGATTCAGTACTGTATATAAAATCAACAAAGGCATAACTGTGAAAAACAAAACTTTTACCATTTTTACATTAAAAGTTATTTTAAAAATATAATAAAATAAATAAAGTGCTAATTGCAAAAAACAGAGTCTTGTGCAATAAGCAGGGTGTTTTTCTGAACATTTTGCTACTGGTTTTATTGTATAATTTCGTTGAATTGTTTAATTGGTCTTTTTTATCGATTAAGCCTTGTGCAACATAAAGGACACATAATTATACCTATCTGAGATATTTTTGGCTCAAACTATAGCAGGGGCAAATAATTTAATTGGTTTGAAATCGAATTTCTAATGAATGTCAAACTTTACCGCGGTTAAAAAACCGGAGTAAATCCAATGTATCGCTTTTGTTTCAGTGTATATGACCCCCAGCATGACTTACATGTCAGTGACGTTCTCCATGTCCGCCTCGGACTCCAGCTTGGGGAAAGCCATAATACTGCGCTCCGCGTCCACGCAGGAGATCCGCAAACCCGTGCACGTGCAGAGCTCCGGACAAGCGGTCGCGGGCCTCCAGAGCGCGAGCAGCATCACCGCCCAACCGAACCCGCAGCCCGTCATGCCGAAGCTCATCCCCGGGTCCTCACCTCCAGATTTAACGACCCCCGAAAAAAACCCGGAGTCTGGAGACGCGCAGAGCCGGAGCAGAAAAAGCAACAGCGAGTGACCGTATATTCCTACAGAACGAATGCCCGAGATGCTGCGCTGAATGACGCTCGGATGCGGACTGAAGACGCGCTCTGGAGACGCGCTGGATGATGCGCGCGTCTGAGGGGAGGAGACCAGCAGGACACATCAATCAATCCTTCACTCACTCACACGCGTTATTGACCGCCTGACAACATCCTTACACTGATCAAGGCTTTCTTTATAGTGTATCAGTGCTGTGAGGATGCTTTTTTGAGAATCTCGTGGTTACTAATTAGCACTGATCATGTGGTTTAGGTAGAGTTGTTGTTGTGTTTGCTGCTTCGTGAGGTGAACGGTTATTTGAATGCATGTATATGGAGGAATGAGTTGCGCTCGTTGTTTTTCTGTGTGTGTTTGTGTGGAACTGACTCACTCGTCGTCGGAGAATAACGTTCAGGTTCAAAGGCAGAAAAATTGACTACAGCTAAAATGACGCGAAATGGTTCCCTTTGGGATGTTTTTATTTATTTATTTATTTATTTATTTATTTATTTATTTATTAAACTAATTAATAAATTTAATAAATTTTGTTTTATGAAGATGATGATAGCTTATGATAACCTAATTTTAATTATTATTTATTTATACTCTGTTCTGAAATTTATAATTCATTCATTCATTTTCTTTTTGGCTTAGTCCCTTTATTAATCTGGGGTTGCCACAGCGGAATGAACTGGTAACTTATCAAGCATATGTTTTATGCAGCCCTTCCAGCTGCAACCCATCTCTGGAAACCATCCATTTACACTCATTCACACTCTTACACTACGTACAATTTTAGCCTACCCAATTTACCTGTACCGCATGTCTTTGGACAGTGGGGGAAACCGCACCCGGAGGAAACCCTTGTGAATGCGGAGAGAACATGCAAACTCCACACAGAAATGCCAACTGACCCAGCCGAGGCTCGAACCAGCGACCTTCTTGCTGTGAGGCGACAGCACTACCTACTGTGTCATTGCGTCGCCAAAAATTATAATAATTATTATTATTATTACTTATCATTATAATAATTATTATATGTTAATAGTATTATTACTTATTAATATTATCATCATTATTATTACTTATATATATAAGTATTAAACTAATAATAATAGTATTAATAATGTTAATATTATTATCTAAAAGTGCTATAACCTAATATTATTAATATTATTATTATTTATATGTATTACATATTATTTTTATTATTATTATCATCATTGATCTTAATATTATTATTACTTCTAAGTGTTATTTTTTATTATCATTATTATTACTTATCTGTATTAGTACTTATTATTATTATTATTAATGTTAATATTATTGTTACCTATAAGTGTTAGAACTTAATATTATTAATATTATTATTATTTATGTTTTATTACTTATTATTATTAATAATAATATGATTATTATCATTGTACTTATTAATGTTAATAGTGTTATTATATGTATTATTACTTATTATTATTATTATTATCATTAATATTATTAATGTAATATTATTATTATTATTATATGTAATATTACTTATTATTATTATTATTTATACATATTAATATTAATAGCGTTGTTATTATTATTAATATTATTATTGTTATTATTATTATTATTATTATTATTACTATTATTATTATAAGTAATAATTTCCCAGAGATGGGTTGTGGCTGGAAGGGCATGCGCTGCGTAAAAACTTGCTGGATAAGTTGGCGGTTCATTCCGCTGTGGCAACCCCAGATTAATAAAGGGACTTAGCCGACAAGAAAATGAATGAATGAATTAATTAATTAATAAGTAATAATAACTATTAATAATTCGTAATATTATGTATACATATACCACTTATTATTTTATCAACATCACATGCAAAATTGATAAGCAGTGTATGACATTACAAAACATAAAATATCAATAAATGGTAATAATAAAAAGGAGGATTTAATAATAATAATATTAAAAACAAACAACAAAAATATTTTTTATTGTATTTTATATAAATACATACATATAATGTGTATGACATCTGCAAAAATAAGACATAAGATTTAATTTAAATGATTCCGGGTCCACGTTCACTGCCATGGAGTGTCCTTTCAAAAATGACTTCCAAAACCAAATGTAATTGTAAGTGGACAAAATGATGCTGATGCTGTCAGGCTTTGCTTCTACTGATGTTGTCTTCATTTTCTTTGTCTTTGTTTATATGTACACAATGTTAAAGCACTATGTTTGTATGTATGTTGTGTTGTTAGTTGTTAATTAGTGAATGTAAGTTTTTGACCACTTAAATAAAAAAACATGCAAACTCCACACAGAAATGCCAACTGACCCAGCCGAGGCTCGAACCAGCGACCTTCTTGCTGTGAGGCAATCGTGCCACCCACTGCGCCACCGTGACTCCCACATCTTTATTATAGAAATATTTATTTTTTGTTATATTTTGTATTACTTTATTAATTTACTAACAATTAAATTAATTATAGGGAGGCACAGTGGTTAGCACTGTCACCTCACAGCAAGAAGTTCAAGACCCGGCTGGCTCAGTTGGCATTTCTGTGTGGAGTTTGCATGTTCTCCCCGTGTTGGCGTGGGTTTCCTCTGAGTGCTCCAGTTTCCCCAACAATCCAAAGACATGTGCTGGGCAGGGGTGGATTTAACCAATTAGCAGGGTAAGCGGCCACTTAGGGCCCCAGGAAATCTGAAGGCTCCCAAATAAATACCTAGATGACTAAATTATACCTATATAAATTATACATAACATTGTTTCTGTCTTATTTTGTATGGTGAGAGTCTAACTTTTTGATTTGAATGTAATTACCTGCACAAATTTGTCCCCCACCTTCAATCATGGACCAGTCCGGCAGTCAAATCAGTAAGGATTTAGCTTTAAAAACAAAATAGTTCATTTATTATTTTTAGTTGTGAATTAAGTTTAAGAAAACAAATATTTTCAAATGTTTTAAAAGATGGCAGCACGGCGGCGCAGTGGGTAGCACGATCGCCTCACAGCAGGAAGGTCGCTGGTTCGAGCCTGGGCAGGGTCAGTTGGTATTTCTGTGTGGAGTTTGCTTGTTTTCCACATGTTGGCGTGAGTTTCCTCTGGGTGCTCCGGTTTCCCCAAAAAGTCCAAAGACATGTGCTATAGGTGAATTAGATTGGTCGTATAGTGTATGAGTGTAAATGAGTGTGTATGGATGTTTCCCAGTGATGGGTTGCAGCTGGACAAGCCTCAGCAGCATAAAACATATGCTGGATAAGTTTTCGGTTCATTCCGCTGGCTGTGGCAACCCCGTATTAATAAAGGAACTAAGCCAAAAATAAATAAATAAATGAATGAATGTTTTACAAGATGCTTTACGTGTTATTATTATTTTGCATTTAGATAAAAAGCAGAAGAAAAGATCGAATGATATAAAAAAAATAACGCTAAATAATCTTTCAAAAAAATGTAAGTACAAAAGGTGCATTTTAGAACTTTTGGGCCCCATGGCTGGAATTGCTTAGGGCCCCAAAATCACTAAATCCGCCCCTGGCTATAGATAAATTGAATAAACTAAATTGGTTGTGGTGTATGAGTGTGTGTGTGAATGTAAGAGTGTAGGTGTTTACCAGTACTGAGTTGCAGCTAGAAGGGCATCCACTGCCTAAAACATATGCTGGAATAGTTGGCGGTTCATTCCGCTGTGGCGACCCTAGCTAAATAAAGGGACTAACAGGCCTGTAGCCAAGGGGGGTTCGGGTGGTTCGAGAACCACTCTTGACTGACAAAGGTCCAGAATTTGTCCCATGTATGAGTTTGTTTGTCCTATTTTGACTGCTAAGCCATCATAAATAGTTAAAATAACCCATCGAAAAAAGGCTTTAAGACCAAGCGGAATCCTCTGTTGGCTGTCGCTTCACTGCAACCTCAGTTATTCAGTTTTGGCCAATGCTAACCAATATTTTTTATTTTACAATCTGACATAAGTCATTTTTTGCTGCTGCATTGTTTTTAAACAAAGAAAACATTATACCAGTAACGTTTATTCTAAATCTTGCACCTTATGCTTAAAACAAAAAATGAGCAATCATAATGTGTGAAGGACCAAAAGCGGACCATATTTAAATTGACTTGAATACCAATTTGGCGACTGCTGTTATCCATGAATTTTCAAATATACATTTTTTACAAGGGGGCTAGAAAAACTGTAAAGTTCTACATTACTATTTATTGTATTATTATTATTATTATTATTACTATTAATATGTTTTATTTTTTAGTTTTCAAATGGTCAAACTAAAGAAAGTCTAGTTTGTTATTTACCTATAAAATTACAATAGACTACAGTTTTTAATTAAAAACTTTAACAGATTCCTATTTTTTTCTATATGATATATGACGCAATAAATATGTATTTTCAAAATAAGTATTTCTACAAATTTCTTTATTTAAATCGTTAGGAAATATTCTCATATCATATAAGTTAAACCAGGACTGCTATATTAAATTACATTAATATCAAAAAGTGTGGTTATGATTAATTCAGCTAAAAATAGTGCTAAAAATGTCACTAAAATGGGCGAATAACTGCAAAAAGGTCCACTTTTTGAGAAAAAAAGAACCAACCCTTTTACCAGGCTGCTACGGGCCTGACAAATCCGAAGAAAAATGAGTAATAAGGTTCTTATGAACTCACAAACATGAAAACTTGACAAAAGTAATTCTGTTGATAAAGAGTTGAATGGACTCTCTTTAGATCAATATGGCAGCCTACAAAACAATCACGTGTAAAATAAACAAGTCGAAAGCAATCTAAAAGTAACGTTAAAGATGCTCTAAAAGTAACGTATGATTACATTTCCAAAAATACGTTGTCTAGTTTGTTACTACACCATTTCCATTACGTAAATTGTAGCTTAAGTAAAGGACAACGATTTCTAATACCCATCACTGTGTGTGAGTGTGCGGCATTAGTTGATTTGTTGTCAAGTCAATAGATCATCAATCAAAACAGCCAAATTACTCAATCAGTAAACAAATAAATGACCTTCAGATTTACTCCTGTAGAGCAGGGAGCGATTTTTAATTAATCAGTTGATGACTCGCTTACAACACACACACACACACACGCACGCACGAGCACGCGCACGAGAAACGCTCGTTTGTCGCCACCTGGCGTGTGTTAACTAAACATTTCACAAAACATTTGACAAAACCTGTTCAAAACAATCGAGTTCCCATCAATTTTATGTTTAATTATTATTTACTTAATTATGTGTATTAAAGGCCTACACAAGAAAACGATAATAATTTTAATAATAACTTAGATCAAGTTAAATACGACACATATAAAACAATATAATTATGAAAAAATAAAAATAAAATAACTATAGAGGAAAGACTTCAGTGCATCAGTGAGATTTGCAAAATAATGATCGTAATATTCCAAAAATGTATTACTCTTTTCTTTAACCAATCTAAGGGATGTATTTAAAAAAAGATGTCGAGTTGCCATCAATGCACAGTAGCTTTTTTTTCTCCTGAAGCCTGTTACGTGGTCAAGCATCATTCTAATGACGTCATGAGTGACGCACGAGGCGGGAATATAAATCAAAGGAAATTTAGATGACAGTGAAGGGCCGATTTATGTGCACTCAGTAGATGACACGCGCGAGTATTTTAGGCCAGGACTATAAAGTATTAAAAACAAAGCTGTATGATGTATATAAGTTAAACCAGGACTGCTATATTGAATTTACCTGGGGGAGTTTGAGATTACATAAGACAAATGATATGGCTAACGCCTTGAAATATGAAAGCCCTTCATAGACGCCATTTTGTGTTCTGTTGTGGTGTTGAAATGTGCTGACTTTTATTTGCACTTTATTGCAAGCAGCACAAAACGAATCTTCAGGTGGTTCATTGAAGAGTGTATTTAATGGGATAGTTCACCCCAAAATTCAAATTTACTCACTATTTACTTTCCATACGTTTCTTTATTCTGTTTAACACAATATATTTTGAAAAGGCTAAAAGCCAATTGACTTCCATAGTAGTAAAAATAAATACTTTGCAAGTCACTAATTTCCTGCATTCTTCAAAATATCTTCTTTTGTGTTTAGCTTAAGAAAGAGATTCATGACGATTTAAAACATGTAAAGATAAGTAAATGATGACAGAATCTTTATTTTTGGGTGAACTTTATCTCTAAGTCGTGCTTGGGTCATATGGGAAGGCTTGCAGAATTACATTCCTCTGCTGCCATCTATCAGCACCCACTGGTATTTGTTTATTATTATTATTATACATATAAAAAGGCAGGTGAATCTAGAATTGCTCATCTTCTAGGCTAGATAAACATATTATTTTTTTAAACATTATTGAAAAATTTCAATGACACAAATTATATGAAGTTATAGATAAATATTGTGTTTGTATGTGTATGTAAGGACATTCTGTCTTAAGCATATTAACTGAAATATTCCCATTATAACTATTTTTGACTTTATCCACCCCAAGAGTCTTCAATTAGCTTCAATTATCAGAAGTATTACATGAAGTATTTAAAAAATTTTTGTGTGTGTGTGTGTTCACAATACTTAAGAGTTAAGCATTTGCATGAAAGATAATTTTTTTCTGTCATTAAAAAAAAAAAATATATATATATATATATATATATATATATATATATACATATATATATATATACATACATACATATATATATATACATATATATATATATACATATATATATATATATATATATATATATACATATATATATATATACATATATATATATATATATATATATATACATATATATATATATATATACATATATACATATATACATATATATACATATATATACATATATACATATATATACATATATATATATATATATATATATATATATATATATATATATATATATATATATATTTTTTTTTTTTTTTTTTTTTTTTTTTTTTTTAATGACAGAAAAAAATTATCTTTCATGCAAATGCTTAACTCTTAAGTATTGTAAACACACACACACACACACAAAAAAAATTTAAATACTTCATTTATGACGAAAGTTGTTGCACATCTGTCGGTACCCAACTCTGAATAAGTGAGTTTGAGCTACTTGTACAGTAAGTTAAGGCTGGTTAATACTTCTGCATCAAGTGATCACTGTGACCCACGACGCCTGCCTTGCACGATGCCATGCATTTACGCTTCTGTGTCCTGTTTGTGTTGCGCTGCAATAACACTTCACAAACACTAGCTGGGAGTAGGTTATGTTCCTCTGTGTCGTGTTTCTTCGTGGGTGTTTAGTTTTTCCTGAATGCTTCCTTAATGTACGAGTAGCTAAATCTCACTCATTCTGAGGCAGGAACTGTCGGACGTGCAACAACTTTAATCATAAGGTAAACACAAAACAAAAGTTTCCACCTTGAGCTCTACTTCGAGGGACTCAACACTTGTAAGTACTCGCACCAACGGGTTCACGCGGCTCTTGGTCCCACCCACACTAGTCACAGCTACCAAGCTGATCAATCACAGAGCTTGCGCCATTGCGACGTGTAGTTACACTTTTTGAGGGGTGCGCGTCAGCATCAGCCACGGCGAGGGCTATGCGACAGCGCAGAAACTACACCGGCGCATACATGCGCTTGACGCAGAAGTATAAATTAGCCTTTAGCATTATAAGTATTTCTGGTGTAAACAGAAGAAACGCAACACAGAGAAACATAGAAACCCTACTGCCAGGTAGCGTATGAGAATTGTTACTGTCAGAGTATCAAACAGAACACAAAAGTATAAGGGTGCTTTCACACTAACACTTTTGATCCGGACCCGGGTTCCTTTGACGTCAGAGTTTGGTATGTTTAGCTAGTTGGATCGATCTCTTCTGAACTCGAGTTCAAACCATACCCGACTCTGCCTGAAAGAGGTGGTCTGGGGTACCTTTGCATGAACTCTGATCCGGTTGACTTTGATATGAGCACAAGTCTACCAAATAAGGGTCAACCGCCAACTGTACTATTAACTTTAGTTTTCACAATGTTCAGTCGTGTGTGTATGTCTGTGTATCAAGTACTGTACCTTGGTGACAAGCATTCCTGACCCAGTGCAAACACAGTGATAATGCCTACTTGCCTCCTACAAAAACGACTTCTGTGGACACCGCGTGATGTTCTGAATGTTTTTAATATTCTTGTGGCAAATGAATGCAAGTCGTTCTCTGTATGAAACCAAAAGATTCAGTGAAAGCAGAATTACAGAGATGTGCATACGTCTTTCTATTTTGGCGGTTTGGGTTTTATGGCTGTCACCTAGCAACAGCTGTACACACAATAGCAGCTCGATGACGCAAGCGTATCGGGGTTCAGAAGGAAAAAAGACAATGTGAACACAAACCAGCCGACAAGGTAGGCAAGGGGGGGGCAATCGAACTTGGGTTTGGACCAGGCAATCAACCCAAGTATAAAAGCACCCTGAATACACAACTACGTGCAAGGAAAGCACCATGGGTTACGCAATCACTAAACCCAGAAGTATAATTAACATGGAAAGCCAGAATCAAATTTGAATCTAAGTCGTATACACCGAGAACGGCTTTGAAGGCGAGTAAACTATGGAGTGATTTTCATTTTTGGGTGACACATTCCTTTAAGAATAAAAACATTGTACAAACAGATGTATACATTATTTATTTGTTAACCACAGAGGACAATGAAATTTAAACACAACACAGAATTTAACAAAACATCTTTTTACAAAAAAAAAAAAAAGACAATACTTTTAGTTCTGAAACTGATCAGATACAATGATGTACATTTTAAAGCTGTTCTCATCAGACTCGTAGAATCATTTATTCCCTTAAAACCTCAATGTAAACACTAAGTGAATCAGCACAAACACTGTCGGATTAAGTTAAAAGTATTCACGTCTCATCTCCTCGCCTCTTTCACTCTTTTCTGCATCTCGGAGCATTCTCTGTCAGAGATTGGACTGGCACTCAACACGACTCCTCTGCCAGTCTGATCCACTTGTACGCTCATCATACAGCACATATCCACCAGCTCTCTTTGACAGTGCTGTATCCCGCTGTCCACTTCCCAACGTCTCGCCAGGTCTTTCCGCAACACTCTGGTCTCGGCAGCAGAGAAACCAATGAGTCCAGACAGCATGTTATCAGACAGATCCACATCCAAGTACCCGCTTCCATCAGATATGGTGGCTCCCAGTTTCCAAACTCCACCACTTATGCGCAGATTTCCCACCAGCGTGACAATGAAAGCTTGAAGTCTGAAAACCTGAGGACTTTTGGGTGGCCAACAGCCAGCCTGTAGGCTGCAAAGATACATGGGAGTTTCTTTGCAAGCCGAAGAATCTAGTGTGCTTGTGGAGCAGCTTGCAAGCGATGTGTTAGGAACTTCATTTAAGGTTCTGCTTTGGTAGGAGTTTCCAAGACGACTCCTTGAGGGAAAGCTCACTTCTTCAGGTTTGGAGCCGTTAAGTAAACTCGAGTCATGTTTGTTCCTTTCAGGGTCTTCCAGTGTACCTGCTGAGACTTCTACATCTATCGGGCACATCACGTTGTCCAACTCATCCAATGGGATGTCATCAAAATCCTCAGGAACGTCTTCTAACGGGTTGTTGTTTTGAGGGAGATCATCGAAATGATCAGGAATGCTTCTGAAGTCATCATCTGGGATCTCGTCCATATCCCAATCGTCTTGTCTGGAAACTTGAGGGAGGGGTTGAGATTGAGGATGTCTTAGAGAAGCTTCTGATGCCAGACTGCTGTAGCCACTATCAGCTACACTGGCTACAAGGCCATCCGGTTCCTGTTGTGGATGTGTCTCCTCAGGTAAACCCAGCGTCCCACAAAGCACTCTGCTCTGAGAGTGAATCTCCAAGAGCTGTTCCACCTCTCCACCCAAAACCTTAATGTTTTCTGCCTTTAAAAGCAACACCCCAAGACGGACTGCAATTGGGCCGACTAGCTGTAGCTTAGTGCCTGGTGGAAGGTTGGCATTGAGGGCTGGGATGGGTCGGTACTCCATGCCCTCCAGATTCTGCACTCCATCTGTGAGCTGCAACATCAGCATGCGTGTTGGTTTGGCCTCCCAAGGCCTCTGGGTTTCTTGCGTAACTGCCGAGACTTGATCATTGGAGCAGTCGGTGCCTCGAATGCGCTGCAGCTGATTGTACGCAGGCTGACTAACGTCTAGTAGTGAGTCCATCTGAACGCAGCAACGATTGCTCAGTACTGTTTTCTGGGCTTCAGAAATCCTTTCAGGGAGAACTGGGTGGGCTAGATCTCGAAGGTCAGTCAGAAGCCATTGCTCCAGGACACGCTGATTAAGCTGCGATTGGGGTATGGATGCCCTGTCCACTTCCTCCTTTATCCAGTTTACACACGCATCCAGCCAGGCAGGAGGAACCTGGATGTGCCATTCAGAGCGCAGCCATGCCTGGATTACCTGGACTTCACCCACTGACATCCTCTCACCTTCCCAAACACCAGAGAGTCATCTTTTAAACATGGAGAGAGGCAAATGTGTTGTAAAGATTTAGGTATTTAACATTTGTATTACAACAGTTTACGTTAGAGAGATAGTTCACCCAAAAACGACAATTTCTGTCATCAGTGAATCACCCTTCACTTGTTCAAAAATACATTTGAGTTTCTTTTTACTGATGAACACAAATAAGATATTTTGAAAAATGCTGGTTGCTGACACCCATTGCCTTTTGTAGGAATGAAAAATACTATGGAAATCAAAGGGTGCAGGCCACATGCATTCTAAATATATATATCTAGAATATATTCAACATGGGACAGAAACTCATACAATTTTAAAACCACATGATGGAAAATACATTTTCATTTTTGGGTGAACTAAAAACTTAAAATTTCTTTACATTTTTATTCAGTTATTAAAAAAAGCTTCTACATACAATTCTGATTAAAGTTGATCTGTACAATAACAGTGTGATAAATTAGTATTTTCGAAAAGAAAAAAAAATTATATATATATATATATATATATATATATATATATATATATATATATATATATATATATATATGCTCACTCACCAGCCACTTTAATAGATACATGTTTGCATATTATGACATGGCGTTTTATCCTGCTAGAAGTAGCCATCAGAAGATGGAAACATTGTGGTCATAAAGGGATGAACATGATCAGCAACAATACTCAGGTAGGCTGTGGCGTTGACACGATGCTCAATTAGTACTAACCACCAGCCTAAACCATCGAAACCAGGCAGGATGGATCCATGCTTTCATGCTGTTGATGCCAAATTCTGACCCTACCATCCGAATGTGACAGCAAAAAATGGATACTCATCAGACCAGGCAACGTTTTTCCAGTCTTCTATTGTCCAATTTTAGTGAGCCTGTTCGAATTGTAGCCTCAGTTTCTCGGTTTCCGGTTCGAAGCTGACAGGAGTGGCACCTGGTGTTGTCTTCTGCTGCTGTAGCGCATCTGCCTCAAGGTTGAACGAGTTGTGTGTTCAGAGATGCTTTTCTGCAGACCTTGGCTGTAACAAATAGTTATTTGAGTTACTGTGGCCATTCTCCTCTGACCTCTGACATCAATAGGGCAATTGTCCCCACAGAACTGCCGCTCAAAGGATATTTGGTATTTTTCTGACCATTCTCTGTAAACCCTAGAGATGGTTATGCATGAAAATCCCAGTAGATCAGCAGTTTCTGAAACACTCAGACCAATCCATCTGGCACCAACAACCATGCCACGTTCAAGTCACTTAAATCACCCTTTTTTCCCCCATTCTGATGCTCGTTTTGAACTGCTGCAGATCGTCTTCACCATGTCTACATGCATTGAGCTACTGCCATGTCATTGGCTGATTAGAAATTTGCGCCAGAGTGGTGTACCTAATAAAGTGGCCGGTTAGAATAGTTTAACGTTTAAATCAAATATACAGCTTCTATGTAGCCCAGGTGCAGTTTAAAGCAACCATAAGATTATCAGTTCATACAAAACAAGTAATATGCTTAATATAGAGATTTTAAATGCATTATGATTATAAAAAATGAAATCTTACCAGTAAATGGCAGGCTGTGGATGAATTTGAGATCGTAACTTTGCTCTAATGAGTGATTTGCTCAAATAACCTGTAGCTAAGATGTTCTCGTGAAACAGTTTCAGTGATTAATTTTTTAAATACGTTTATCTCAATACATTAACTTTTTTTAAAAAGCATACGCTTTCTGAAGGATCAAACTAGCCTTGCTGATCATGAAGGCGTTCATAAAAAAAATTGACGTTGGTTTTGTCCAATGGTTGTCCGTGTCGCTTGCTGAGGTTTCGAGTATGCAGCGATTTCGACCAATCAGAATGAGTTTATATTGTGGAGGGAGGCGCTTTCATTGGCCCGCGCCTTATTGGCGTTAGAAACATTTTGTGCGTCATTGTTGTTACGAAGGGGGAGTACGATAGGAACAGGTATGTTGATACATTTCCCGATACAAAAAATCAACTCTTTTATCGTCTTTACACATATAAAAAACTGCATAATCTAGTAATAAATATATTAATGCTCTAAATTAACAGTATTTTTTCCCGCGCCCACGATTAATTCTTACAGTTAGAATTATGTTTGCTTACGGTGTAGTTAGCTTCATGTCTGTTAGCTAAAGCAAGCTAGCAACCGTGATCTTCAATAATTTTCACAGTTCGCTGTGCATAACTAAAGTAATGTTATTAGTTGTGTTAATAATACTATGTTATCTATATTTAACACGAGACTACGGAAAACAAGTGACGTTACTACTCGTAAAACAGTAATGTTACTTTATGCTATTTAGTTAGCTCGTTAGCTTCCTGAAACTATTCATTGTTAATTAGCCAGTCAGGCAGCTGATAAGGAAGATGGCGAAGTTTGATTACATTTAACAGCAGTTTTGGTTCTCAAAATACAATGGAGTTCCTCTTACAGTAAATATTACTTGGTGAATAGTTTGTGAGCATATCTGGCTCGTTTAAAAGCACGTATGCGTTAATGCTACACGCAGATAGGCAGCACAGCAGATTATGAAACACAACCCAAGAGTAGTTTGTTTTTATTTTAGCTTGACCTGGCTATAATTTGAATTCTTCCTATTAATTCATCGTTTCTGCATCCATAGAGAATATTAACCAATGTTTAGTTTCAGTTCAGTTTTTTTTATAACGCATTAATTTGTTTCTCTTCACATTTCCTCTTAAAATACTTTGCCTAATTATGGTGAATACATAAAACGCTGTTCATTCTTTTATTATTATTATTATTATTATTATTAATCACAGTTTAGCATTTTTAATGCATTGTTAACATCCAAATTTTTGCTTGTTTTTTTTTTTGATAAAAGATTTTAATGAAAACAACACCCAATAGTGTACACCGTGTATATATGTTAACAAAATTAACCCACTAGAACATGCATCAAAACACTAGCAAGCAATACAACAATTATACAGCACAATCTAAAAAATCTCAACCAGACTAATGGAATAAGAAACAAAATAGAATGACGCGTAAAAAGGAGGGAGAAAAAAATATTGTGCAATTCCATGTGAATGCCAACCTTTCCATGAAAAACATTAAGTCTTCACCAAAATAGCAAAGCCGTTTTTAGGTTTTCTATGTAAGCAGGTTTTTTACAGTACTTTAGCATACTCAAAAATGTCTCTGTCAGTGTTTTTTTTAAACAATTATATTTGATTTAAGCCACACAAGTGCCAATTTCACATCTGTCACATCCATAACGAAGCTTTTCCCTCATAAATGCAAGAATGTCAAATTAAAAAACATCAATTTTTTTGTTCTATAGTGAGCACCTCTTATTTCTTTTGGGTTGTGCAGTTTAATTCACGGAATTTCTAAAAAGTATTTTGTATACTGTAAAATTGCATGTTTATTTTTTTCATTTAAAATATAAAACTTGTTTACAGATTGATATTTTTCTGATTCCTTAACTCTCTGGTTAGTTTTGGAAAATATAAACAGATGTTTTAATATAATGTTAACATGTACTTTCTTTGTAAATTTATGTTTTAAGTTTTTACTGCAAACGTCACATCTGTAACTCTGGAATTGCTCTATTACAAAAAAAATTGCAGAGACATCATTAACAAACGCATCTAAGGAAGGGACCCCATATTTTATCATACAACTTCTGTTTGCCGAATCTAAAGAAATGTAACCTTTGACCAGCTTGAGAACAGAAACCATTTCAGCTAACCATTTAAAAATACTTAAAGGTGTCGTGTATTTCTACTCTATCAGAATCCCTCTCTTGGCCAACACCATGCTAAACATATGGGAGAGTTGTTGATGTTTAGTCCAACTTAGAGCCCGGTCTGAACATCCAAACAATGCTAATGTTCATTCTGATGATATCACTGAAATGATTATACAAACAGCACCCTGTTCCGTCATTTTTTCTCTTTCGTTTCAGCTATTTGTGTTTTCCTCTAGGCATTTGTTTGGACAGAGAGGGCTGTTCATCTCCACTAGGTGTAGATAGATAATGGATCCAGAAAACGACCCACAGGAAGAGGAGACTTTCAGCAACAAAGAGAGTAATGGTAAGATCTAGTAAAAAATCTACATAAATGGAGGTGATATTCTGAATGATGCTATTACTAGTGGTTTAACGGATCACAGATCTCACGGTTCAGATCACATTATAGTTTGTTAGTCACAGATTGGACCATTTTTTGGATTAGACAAATGTAATTTGCTTTCCTTTTCTTACAAAAACAGCGCTGGAAGACACTTGCTTTTAACAAACGGAACTTAGAAGCTGCAATTTCTATACATCAAAATATTAAAAATAAAATAATGAAATAATTAGCTGAATGAAAAATTAAGTTTTCATATAATTTGTATATATATACACACACACACACACACACATACATACATGCATACATGCATACAAATTATATGTAAACTTAAACATCTATGTAACAAAATTGTTTTGTATAATTTTGTTATAATTTAGATAGATAGATAGATAGATAGATAGATAGATAGATAGATAGATAGATAGATAGATAGATAATTCGATCAATCACTTTTTATTTTGCCCAGCACTAATTATTAATGATTATTTATAATAATGGGATAATAATTCATTGTTATTGTCTTAATTAGATAAATTATATATGAGTTATTATTTATTGATGTATTATTTAAATGTATAATTTTATTCATTAATCAAATTAAACTACAAAGGTTTACATTTAGATTTATTCAAGCATTAAATAATTTAGACATGTATAACAACATCAGTAAAATAATTTTACCACAGTTTTTATCCTAAAAATGGGTGGTATATGACATTTCAGGTAAGCGTTCTGCTGATGATTCAGAGGAGGAAAAACCCTATAAGAGATCCCGAAACTCTGACGAAATGGTGGAGCTCAGAATTCTGCTACAGAGCAAAGTAAGTCTTTGAGTTTATATATATATATATATATATATATATATATATATATATATATATATATATATATATATATATATAATTTCATATAAATTTATGCTGACTATTTCTTCTCTCCAGAATGCAGGCGCTGTGATTGGAAAGGGTGGGAAAAATATTAAAGCTCTGCGCACAGATGTGAGTACTCTTCTGTTTGGTTTGCAGATTCTCACTTAACCCACTACAGTCTGTTGTCAATGGAGCTCAGGTGTCTTTAGTGTACTGGGTTGTATTTGCTATGTTAGTATATGTATTAAAAACAACAAAACCTGAAAAATATGTATATCATAAATACAAATTGAAGCATTTCTGATTCTGTTATCCTGGCTAAAATAATATATTTGGCCTTGTACATATTCTCATAATCTGTTCCTCTCCTGTTGTCCATTCTCCTCCAACATTATGAGAATTAAAAGTCACACTGAAAGTGTTTCCAATTAAAAAATGTATTCCTCTTCCACTCCCTCTCCCCTTTTCCTTGTTTTTTGTTTTTTATTTTGATTTCTCTGTTTATTTATGGCCAATTCCCATATTCTGGATCGCCACGTACTGCGTTGCCGCCTGACCTCCTGACTCCCTGGTTGGCCACGCCCATAATCGCGCCCTTCCTATTGGGCGGCTCACTTGATTGACATCCGTGTGCTTGATTGCTCTGGTTGCTTGGCCCCGCCCCCTGCAGTACAATGCCACTGTGTCAGTCCCAGACAGCAGTGGGCCCGAGCGGTACGTGCCACTCAGATACTCCAACCTCCAAGTCATATCAGCTCTGTTACTGCCAATATCAGAACTGTTTTAACTTCCTTTAATGTGCAATCTACTCCCTTACTGCCATGAAACATGAATATGATGCTGCCATAACTCTCAATATGAATTTAAAATGCTGTTGTGCTTTATTCAAATGCCTTTTCTGTCATGTAAGGAAGCCCTTTCCCTCCCTGTTTCCCTCTCCGACATCACAAACTAGCTTTTTTGTTTTCCTGGGAAACTCCACTGTTTTCTTTTTAAAGGTTTCTTGCTAATACAAGGCTGAATTTAGTTATAGAGGGTGAAGGGGCAGCACAAAATACATTTTCTCCCTTTTGTCTGTTGTATTGTAAGGTTCGACTTTAAAACTTTGCCCCTTCCCTCCCTTACCCAGTCTGCTCATCTGTCTCTGCTTTTTCTGTCTCTTCTCTCCTGGATGTGGATCTCCTGCTACCTTCATGTACATCTCTGCCATTCTCTCTCTCTCTTTGCTCTGTCACTTCTCTCTCAGGTCCAGTTTACACTAATGTGTTTTAGTTTTAAAACGCTTGACTCTTGATACTTTTAGACCTTTCATCCCTCACTACCTTGGAGTTTAAGACTTTTTAAAATGCTGTAGAGCAATGGTTTTCAAGCTGTGAAACGTGTACCACTAGTGGTACGCAAGCTTCCTTCTAGGGGTATGCGGAGGAATCGCTGAATAACTAAAGTAAAAAAATGAACACACTTTTAACTCTTTAATGCGTACGATAACACTGATATGATCAGTAAATTGATTTTAATATGCTAAACCTTTTATTTTACATTTTTTAATGTTTGTTATGTATTCTGTCATTTGAAGCTAATTTCCAGCCCCCTATTTGTAACGGTTGTTTAGGGCATATCCTGTATTTTTATATTCCAATGTTGACGGGTATAGTTTAATTACTTTTCTGACACACAAAGCCTATTCTAATGCACAGTAAGCAGATCTAATTTCTAATTTAAATACAATTCATATATTTAAAATA